TAACTGCCCAACAGAAAAAAAGGAAAATTTCACTATAGAATTATAAGAAGATACAGCTCAGGTTCTTCAGAGCTGAGAAGGGGACAGTGCATCCAGAGCAGCAGGACGGCATGGCAGTGGCAAAGGAGGAGACAAGACAAGGGCACTATGTGGGGGCCTCATGGAATAAACCAAATAAATAGAGTAGGAGCCTTCTCCTGTCAACAGCTTTGCCAGCAAATGGCCACACAGACAACACATCTCATCCTAAGTATTCCCTTTTTGGAGAAGGGCAAACACTTATGGTCCCATTTTGTTCAGGAACATTGGCACTTTTGAAAGAGCAAAGCCAAAAAAAATAACCAAACAACTAAAAAGCCACTACAAGTAAGGAGCTGCTGTGCAGGGGCAGAGGGATTCCTGCTGGTACAATAGCCCAGAGCAGCAACCAGCCCCAGTAAAACCAGCTCCAGTGGTATTGCTGGGATGCAGAGAGGTGAAAGTTATTTCTTCAGCATGACTTGGGTAGCCCCACAGATCCTGTTCCCAGCCAGGATTAGATCACACAGCCCCTCCAGAAAGTCTGGCACAGGGAGCAAATATTTCCTAGCTTACAATAACACACGATCTTACACAGTTCTCTGTCTCTGAAGTGAGGGGGATGAACAAACACTGAATTGTTCGAATAATATTGGTGAATACAGATTTCAGTTAGAGGGAGTTCATGTTAGACCAATTAAATAGTATGTCAATTCGCTCTAATTATCTGGTTCTGTAGCCTACCCAGTAATTACACTTAATGGGTCTAAATCAAATCAGCATGTTACCTGAGAAATAATTGGATTTATGTGCAATTTTTTAATGATTCTGAAAGATACCCTAGAGACTGAAATCCTCTGTGTGTTCAGGGCTTGATCCTGGGCTTCAGTGTGCTTTGGGTGATGACCTCAGGCTGCACTGGCCCTGATAAATTAAATGTGCCTGTTCCCTGGCACTGAGGCCCAGTGGCATGGCACAGCCCACCACCATTCTCACCAGTTTTTTAGCCTCTAAAACAGGGTGGCCACATCCAGACGTCCCACTGGAAACTGCTCCTGCCAGTGCCAAATGTAGTGTAGAACACATCTACACCAGCAGAGAACAACTTCAGGTTTGAGTGCTACACCAGCACATCCTCACCTTGACCTGGGGGGATCCTCCTGGGGGCTCACTGCTGAGTCTGCCGATAGCAGGGTGGTTTGCAGAGACAACTCCAAGTTTAGAACCACAAGCCATAGCTGTGCTCTGCTGAGACCTGTACTGTGCCCTTGAGCATATTCCCAAAGGTTGGTGCATATTAGAAACTAAAGCTATACGTGCTATAGAAAAAATAAAATAAAATAAATCATAGAACCATTAAGGTTGGAAAAGTCCAAGGTCATCAAGTCCAACCTTTGGCCAAAGACCACCATGTCAACTAAAAATAAAATCTAAGCCTCTATACGTTTTCAATGGACCTTGGCCCTCAAATCACATAGCAGCTATAAATAAATCTCACTTGCCCCAAATTGAGACAGAATAGAGCATTTTATGGATAATTTCTGATCTTCTTAAACATCCTATACCATAAAAGTACACACAGACATGGTGTGTTTATTTATTTACAGGCACAGAGAATACTCAGGAGTGCCAAACTCCTGACATCTAAAAGCAGTTCCATGCACATATCTGAGCCCTGTACATGCAAGATGAGTGTCCGTTAGGTCCCAAATCCTTCTACTGGATCAGAGGGGACCATGATTAGCATAAGACTTCCAAAAAATCACAAAAGGTATTGAATTTTTCACTGTTTCTAGTCAAGCACACATTTCTCTGAACTAGTTCTGTAATTTCTAGAGGTGAACTACAACACCTCCACAGGAGTTTTCCCTGCTTCCAGCAAAAGCAGTCTCAGAGGGGTTAGTGCAGTAGAGATCCCCCATTGCCCTGCTCCCCAGAGCCCCACCATTTGAAAAATCTGGGTCTTTCAGTTTCAGCATGATTTACTGTTCTCCATCTCCTTGAAATTCTGCCCATGAGAAACCAAAATAGCACCTTGCCTTCTGCATGAACCCCACGCAGCCAGTGAGCATCGAAACCACTAGATTTCAAATGCAATGTAATGTCAGAGAGACATAACTGCAGTGACAGTGGCTGGAGGGGATGGCTGCACCATCTCGTTATTCTTCAGCAAAGGTACAAGTAAATGCCACTAACTTCACTTTTGTTTTCTTTCAAGGAAGTCTTTCTTTTTAGATAACTAGCTCTGTTCAGGGGCCTTTTGAGGCTCCAGCATGACTGGCAGTGGAAGGGCCTGAGCATCCTTATTTTATGTTAAAGGTGTTCTGTCCAAACTCTGCAGGCTACTTCCCAAAGCACTTCTAGTACCTGTATGCAAGAAAACACATTCATTCTACCTAGATAGATGCTTAACCAAAACACTATTTCAGTAGCGTGGTCACAACAGGCTTCCTCAATAAGCAATAGAAACTGATATCCCAAGAGGACAATGCAGACCTTAAACAGCTTCCTATTAAAGTACTTCTGTCATGGCTGTTGTTAAGAAGGACAAATTCAGAAACAGAACTCAAAACGCTGCATTTGTCTTTTGACAAACTTGTGGGTCAAAACCTGTGCCAGGCAGTGACTTCTCAACAAGGACTCTCTGGTGCTCTTTGGTTACAATTGTGTGTGCTCAGACTTTATAGAGCAGGTCAACACTTCATATGACCACAGTTTTGGGCATCAGCTCTTAAGCATGTATTCATTTAAAGCTCACAAGCAATACTGAAATAGTCAATAACCCAAAAAGCCCATAAAAAATTCTCTTGATCCTGTATTTTGCACTGTATGGATCTGTCATTCCTCTCTCCCCTCATTAACCTTCTCCCTGTAGAAAGATGGAAAGATATGAACTCCCAAAAGCACTAGATTCTGTTTGTGAGACTTAAAATAACATTTTGAATCAAGGAAAGGCAGACAATGTCCTGGTATCTTTGTGCCGAGCAAATCCTCACTTACTTCAAACATTGTTATTAAACCAGTGGGTTCTGATTAAAAGTTTGCCCAGTCACTAAGAGAAAATAATTTCTGTCAGGTTACCCTGTTTCACCCTGCAAAACTGGAGCTGCCTGAAAAATGTCTTGGGGAGATGTTTTCAAGCAGCTTTCCCTGCTCTCTTTCAGGAAAATCACCTACCCCGCACACACACAAACTCCTTCTTTTCTAATATGTCTGTAATTAGCAAAGAATGCCAAGACATAAATATGTATGCACAGATGGGTCCTGAAATACCTTCAGAAGTTCAGCACAGCCCTCAATAGTCAGATTTTTCAAGAGAGCTTTGATGCAAAACCTGAAGGTTCAGGAGGACTTGCCAGAACACCCTGTTAATCGCCCCTCTCGTGGAGGTGCATTTCTCACCCAACAAGGGATGTTACAATCACTCGCAAAAAAAAATCCCACAACACATGCAGGTGCTTCATTACCTACTTTTGATTTGAATTCCTCACAAATCTTGCCAGATCCTTTCACTGCATTAGTACAGGTCTCTGCCTGCTGGGACAAAAAGTGTTCCTCTGTGCAGTTGCTGACAGAGTCCGATTATTTCTCATTTTGTTTCAAATCTTTTCTGAAGTCAGATCTGTTTTTCTTCCCTGTTCAAACTTTTATTTCTTGTTTCTTCCCCAAAATTTTTGCTGATGTGATGCTGGAACAATATTATTACGACATCTAAAAAGTTTGCAATTAGGCTGATCTGAAATGCCTTGTGCAGACTTTAGTTCATAGAATCATAAAGGTTGGAAAGGTCCAGCCATTAACCCAGTACTACCAAGTCCACCACTAAACCATGTCTCCAAGCATCAAATCTACACCTTTTTTGAACAAGACCAAGGACGGTGATTCCACCACTTCCCTAGGAAGGGTGGAATAGAGCAGCCAGTTTGTTCCATTGGTTGACCACCATTCGGTGAAGGAATTTTTCCTCATATCCAAGCTAAACCTTCCCTTGCACAACTTGAGGCCATTTCCTCTTTTCCTGTTGCTTATTACTTGGAAGAAGAGACTGAGCTCCACCTCACTACCACCTCCTTTCAGGTAGTTATAGAGGTGATAAGGTTCCCCCTGAGCTTCCTCTTCTCCAGGCTAAACACCCCCAGCTGTCTCAGATGCTCCTCATAAGATTTGTACTCAAATAGAAACAGGTCCCATTCTCCAGCTGACATCGGATGGCACAGTTTGCCCTCCCTCAAACCTGATCCATCTCCAAAATGATGTGTCTGCTTCCAAAGCACTGATGGAGAATGATGTCTAAGCTGTGCTAACTTCCCTGCTGGGGCCAGGAGTTGGCCAAGAGGGTGTTGGTTGTCCTGAGCCAAAGCTGCACATGGCTCACTCCCATTACTCATGACTGCACTCTCAGTATCCAGGCGCCAGCCCCACTGAATTTAAACACAGCTAATGAGATCACTCGAGACACAGGATAACATTTCCCAGCCTGGTCTGGGATTAATTAAAAGCTGGATTATGGTATGGCATGGGCAGGTGAGCTTCCTGTCACACCATCATCACCAATGCCTGCCTTAGGCTCCCAGGCCTGAAGGGAGTCTTTGCCCTCGCGAGGAGCTCCCACTGCTTCTGGAGGGACTGATAGAGAGGGGACTAGTCCCACTACCCCCCGGCTGCAGATGGAAGTGAGAAGTGGGAGTAGCCCAACCACCGCTGACAGCATGAGCTCAGCGTTGGCAAAGGCCTTCACTGGCACCTGCAAAAACAATCTGCAACTCAGGCTGCTGGCAAGGAGGAAGGACATGGAGCAGCAGCATCCCAGAAAAGCAGCAAGTGAGGGGGAAAAGGGAAACACTCTGCACTGGGGGGTTACGTTACACTGAAAATAAAGGTGGACTGGAATGAAAAGTCCTAGAAGGCCTCTCTGGTGAGCACTAAGTATGAAAATGTTTTGGTCTCAACAGAGCAAACAGATTCGATAGCGAGATACTTACTTGGCCTGCACTTGTACCACACAATGAGGTACTTGCCGGTTCCAGGGCATGGATCTGTCCCGAAGAGCCGGCTATTGACGAGGAACTGGCAGCTCCGCCTGTCCTGGCACTCATCCAGCATCTTCTGCAGCCGGGGGCATGCACAAGAAACAGAGAAACAAAAGCGCTTCAGTATCTCCATCAAAGGGATGGTCAAACAAGCTGGAGAAGGGCAAAGCCATCCCAGGCTCCTCACCCAGCCCTGGCACAAGGCAGGTGATGGAGCTCATTGGCACTGTATACCACAGGAGCCATGGACTAGGAGAGGACTAAACCTTGCACTGTTCTAAGGAACAGGTTTTCTTTTCCCTGCGTGGATGCAAAAGGAGGGATGTGCACTTGGATGGTCACAGAGATTTTGAAACATTTGCATTCAATTTAATCATGTATAAGGCAATACAATCCCAAGAAAAGCAGGTTTGAGGACATGGATCCACCTTGAGAGTTAAAAGCAGAGATCCAAAGTCTGCCACCACCATTCTCGTTTAGATTTCTCTGGAAATGCACAATTTCAAGAGAGCTCTTGTCTCAGTTACATAAAAGCTGATACAAATATATATAAAAATTGCTGGTATTCCAATAATTAGTAGTTGTGGTGGGAACACTGTTATACAGCCAGCTTAGTCAGTTTTTAATAGGGTTCACTCCTCTTCCCCCATGACTATCATGTTCCTTTTAGATAAACTCAGCAAGGGCCTGCAAGTCAGAGGGTCCTCCCACCACTGACATTTTGGGTCCTATCCCCTTTTCTGCACTGCTTTTCCCTTAGCACTCTCTCCCCACTTCCCCATTCATAACATTCACAAAAACTCCATCTCAGAATCCACAGGGGCAAGACATTCTGTCTCCTGCTAGAAAATAGCTTCATTAAGGAAGATTAATGATTTCTTTTAACCCTATGATCCTGTAAAGCAGTGGTGGTGGGAGAGAATATTATTAAGTGGGTCAGTAATTAAGTTTTAAATTCAGCTGGATGGCTTAGGTGGTATTTATGTACTCCTGTAGAGCCCCTAAAGCGCTAAAATTACCATAATGTTTGCCTGACACACATGAACCTGTCAGAGCATTTTGAGACCACAGAGCGAGGTAATCCACCAGCCTTGTTAAGTCCCTGCAATACAGACCTGAGAATTCCAGTCCCAAAACAATTAATTTTCACTTGCAAGGAGGTAGTGGAAAATCCTTCTTCAGAAATTCCCCTAGACTCCCCTGGTCTCTTTTGTCTTCTCCCTGTTCACTTTTCTTACATCCACCTTGATATGTGGGCTTTCCCACAATCTCCTCCCTGTGCCATTAACATAAAGGCTGTTCCTGCTCTGCCATGTGCCACCCAAATCAATTTTCTCTCCGCTTCAGTGACTGCTTTCTATTTTTGAGTTCTCCCTGAATGCAATACACAGAATCTTTAGCATTATAACTCTGAATGTCACACTCCGAACAACAGCTGTTCCAGTTTCAAGTGCAATTTGAAACTGCCTCATTTGTGGTTGCCCATAACTTCCTAAAGCGTTCACCTTTTGGGCTGACGCATGCAAGAATTCATGCCTGCCTCAAGAATGACCTTTATTTTAAAGTTCGAACCGAAACAATCCAAGCCTTTTCTAGAGGGCAGAGAACATATGCTGTTGTTTTCCACTTACAACAGTAATAAAATGCAGGCATCTCATTTAAAAAATAGAGGCTTTAGGAGGAAAGGCTGAAAGGTGAACACTGAAGGAGGTGTCTGGCAGCGTTAGCCCCAGCTTGACCGTCATGTTAAAATGCATAGAAACAGCATGTTCTTTCCTCCAGGCTCATGAGGGTTGGCTGCTCACTCAGCATGTGAAATTTAATTTAATGCAAAATCCATTGAGTTGCAAAGGAATTTAAGCTAGGATCCAGCACAGATACCTCTTTTCATCTCAGAAGGCAAAGAACAACTAAAACAACTCTGGAGTGCCACACATCTGGAGAGAAATCCTCTCAAATCATTGCGGACCTGAAGGGGTTTTCTGGTACTAGAGAGCCATGGCTGTGTTTACACCCAACTAGAACTAAGAATATGGAGCAGAGGGAAAGAAGCAGCACCCCAAATGTTTCCTTTCTCACAAGGAAAGCTGTTTCCCCTCAAAGGCAGCAAACTCGGGGTTTTAGTCCATGTTCATGGCAGATGGGTGGGCTTTTTGAGAGCCTTCAGCATTGCGTAAAAGGTGCTATTGAAATCACTGGGAAAACCACCCTGAGTTTCAGCAAAGGCTGAGTTAGGGCAGCAAGAAAACCTCTTGGAAAACCTCAGCTGAGATACCTGAGCAGCGCTTGTTCATCTGTCCTTAGGTTCAGCACCAGGAGTGAAGGCAACAACTCATCGACCTCAGAGAAAATGAATATGAGCAATCTACAGGTATTGCCATTTTGTCGTGGCTCTGTTCTAACTTCTGGCAGCTCTTGCTTACTCCATGTATTCCACATAAGTAAAACCTCCTGAGTTTACTTCCTGTGGCATGTAAAGCAACACAAAGCCCTAGGAAGAAATCTGTAATTAAACTAAGGAGCAAAAGTCATCTAAGCTATTGTGAGACCACAGAAAAAAGTGAAGTGTTCTTGGGGCTGAATATACCTTTTACTAATTTGCTTTAGTGTTTAGCTACAGTTTCAACTTAATTTGACAATTGCCATGACTCCAAGAAGTTTCACGGGGGTACAGAAACCAATATTTCCTTTCCATTCACATAATTCTATTATGTCTCCCCCACAGGGCAACAATTTTCCTGAAAATATAAAAAAATCATTAAGATTTCTAATTTCTTACAGACTGTACGAGTAAAGTCTTAGGCATAATGAAATATAACCATAATGAATTAAATCAAAAAATGTGTTCAATTCTCAGTGAAATACATTAGGAAGAATGTAAAGACAATTAGCAGTGGTTGACTGTGCACGTTAAAAAAAAGGAACAAAGTTGTTACACCGGCCCTAATGGTAACTGAAAAACTTGCACGTTTAATTTTAACCTATCCTTCCATGCGCAGAAATATTCTTCCCCACTGCTTTCATCAGTATGTGTTATATACCAGCACCTTCTTCAGTGCTGTGAAATACAGCAGCTACACAGAGCATGCCTGACCAGATGATCCCCCACAGGTAGGGTTTGCTGCAGGTCCAGTGGCTCTGGTGTTTACAGGAATCCTTACAAGCCAAGACCTTGGCTTTCTGGTCTTACTCTCAAAACTCACACTTCTAGGCAGTGTCAGAGCTCTGGAAGATGTCAGATGTTGTTTCTGAAGTATCTGCAGATGATCAGCTAGACTGACACCAGGAAGGCTGTGAGTTCACTTGGTAGTGAGGGGATATCTTGAGCTCACATGGATTTTGCTTAATGGCTGGAAAAATGTAGGGAATTCATTCTGCATTTGCCTTGTTGTTCTGGCTGTCACTGTCAGCTGTAAAGGTGGGAAAACAAAACCAGAAAACCAAACAAAAAGAGGCCACAAACAATCTGAACTTGCACAGAATAACAACAGACATACAAAACCATTCCTAACTGGGATATACCATCAGCTACTTTTGTCACCAAGTCTGGCAGACCCCTGACTAATGCCAAATAAAGTCACATTGGTTTAGATTATATTATGAAAATCACTCCAACTCAAGAAGGTGAAGGAGGAATTCCTGTCTGGAATGAAAGGGGAGGGAAGACACACTAATTGCATTGTGCCATTTTATAACTGAGTTCCAGTGGTAAATCTGGCCTGAGGGCTGACAGCCAGTGCTCAGGAGGGAAGTTGTGGTTGTTTAAACCCATTCCATTCCCTGGTTCATGACTGAGCTACGAAGCTGCAAGATTTAGAGGAGATAAGAGAACAAGAAATGTGTATTCAAGTAAAACAAACACTAATCTAGCCCCTGTGATTTATGCCCTGGATTAATCTCACTGCAGTGACCCAGGTCTTAAAGCAAGGGCAGCCTCAAGCTCAAAATCGTGTCTTCCAAGTGGCCACTGCAGATGAAACACATTTCTCGTGCTCATTTTGTTGTGCTCATTAGCCAAGTAATTGCTTGTGCTCATTAGATAACAACCATTTAAACCTGGAACTGGATTGGAGCTCTGCAAGAAGGCCTTCCTCAGCCATTCCCAGGGGTGTGCTCGTTTTTAGTCTGTCTCTTCAAATCACTCTTCAAGAAGCACTTCCCCTGCATGCTTAAAATAAACCACAACTGAGCTTAACACCCAAGGCAATTAAACTTATCTCAGTTCTTGGCCCCTTGTAGCAGTTCGTAGATTTAATACACTCAGGGTGAAACTTTGGGCCCAAAGAAGCCAATGGTGAAACTCAATGGGAACCAGGATTTTACCACAGGGCTGCTCTCTGTACAGCCTCCATCATCAAAGGAGCGTAAGGATGACTGCAGGGCATGTCAGTCATGCACGAAATTACACAGAGGAACCCTACTAAATAATTGCCCAAATTGTGTGTAGCTGAGGAGAGTAACTCAGAGAGCAAACTGCATGAATGGATCAGAGCCGTGTGCAGTCAAATGAAGATGGGCAGAGATTTGTACTAAGAACCTTATGCAAGAAGAAACCAGTAATTTTGAGCATTTTTAGGTCAAATTCAATCCAGGCATGGCCATTATGGTGGAGTTACGCCAATACATGTTGGTGCACCTCTATGGGTTTTGCAAAGGGAAGTAAATACAACAAACAAGGCAGCCTGAATTCTCTCTTACAGCACAATGCATTCATAATGGCTTCACCATTCATTTGAATTTTTATACTCTTTTATATACCCCTGAACACTGGTAATATTTTAAAACACACTATAAACTTAGTGCTTTCAAGTTGCAGACTTACTTACCTGTCCTGTTTACAATTATCTGAAGACTGAGCGTTCATCTTTATTCATTCACACAAATTACTGAAGCCCATGGAAGAAGATTTTCCAAGGATCGGCAACGAGGAAGGACAGACCACATGAGGAAGTGAAATCCATGTTGATGAGGTACAGGTTAACTGCCTAGGGCTCCATCAAGCAATCTTCCCAGCCTGCTCCACTAGAAAGTAGTTTAGCTTTTTCCAAACTACCCGCATTCCATCCGTGCATCGCTTGAAGAAGAGATCAAAGGCCCTGAATCCTGATCGTTGATCTGTGGCACGTTTTATTACTCTGCTATTTCTTATCACTCTCCCATGGATCTTGCAATGCTCGCAGTGGTGTCAGCAGGAGGGAACTCTGCTCACACATTTGGTGACTCACATTTAACACATCAGACTGTGAAATTAGGAGCTGAAAAGTGAGCACGCACTCCCTCTCACCAGCCCTGCTATGGGAGTAGTAAACACCAGTAGAGCAGGCAGCCGTGGGCTGTGATGTTAAAACATAACAGTAGGATTCACCAGAGCTCCTCTGGCAGGGCCTTGAAAGAGCCCAGAGACAGCCAAAGAGCAAAAACCTGTTCACGAAACAGAAGGACCTGATAAAAGCTGCATTACAAATATCACCTAATTAGCATTACCTACATTTCCTAACAGTAGGGAACTTAATCTGTATGCAGGGTCAACTTCAAAGGGAGAGGAGGTCTAAGATGAAGAAATCCAAAGGATTCATAACCAAAAGTCATGGGATTAAAGAAAGGGAAAGCTTAAAACACAAAGTGGAAAAAAATCATTGAGAGCAAGCCATTACACTGTCAAGTAGGGTCCTAGGGGCAATGATGGAAGCCCTATGACTTGGAAAGTTTAAATTTAGAGTAAACAAAGCATTAGGAGGCTTACACCCCAGGGAGCAGTCCTGCCTCATCAGGGAGACAGGCTGCACTGGCCACCTCTGCCTCCAGTGCCTCTACTTCTGCAGGACATAATCACACTGCTCTGATGAGCTGTTTCAGTCAAGCTAAAGATTTCAAAGACAGGACAATTTAGAGATTATCTATGACCTCTGCATACAACAGCTCTACTTGCAAATAATTAGCTGAGGGAGCTGCTTGCCAGAGAGTTCTATTTCAGCCTGGGCAAGATTCTCGAAAGAAACTCGACTGGTTCTGTGATTTTTAAGAGCAACCTCGGCACTGCAGTAACCTCTTCTGGACCTTGAGGTCACTGTTCACCACACTCCAGCAAAGTAATTATTATAGTCTGATAAAGAGTTGCCCAAACTGCTCTTTGATTCACTGACATTTCTGAGACCGAAATTTTCCTTGTTCAAACAGTCTATCAGCTGTGAGGATCTAATATGCCATATGACAAATAGCGGGTTCTTCTCCTAGTGGTAATGATGACCATTATTATTCCTTTCTATCAATCTCCTCCCCCTTTGCCCCTGACCATTATTATTTTACAGACATTCAAGCCATGAGAAATGGTCCTTTCTTATTTCTGTTGAGGCCACTTATGGCTGTGACATCAGTGGGACCATGCAATATCCTGTAACTGGGCACGTCGGGAGCCATTGTCCTTGGCCTGCCAAGAAAGCTGGAGCAGTTGGGATTGTTCCCTTCTACTTTGTATTTTACTCTTAATCTATAATAATTGGAGAAAATTAAAGCCTCTTTGGAAACAGTAACATCCAAACACATCTTCCAGCATGCAAGGAATCTGCTCCCTTTTGTAGGGCTGCGGGAGCGACAGCGGGAGATGGTGGCAGCAAAGGTGTCCTGTATCTCATCTAAAGGACAAAAGGAAATACCACATCAGCAGCACTAGTGATTCTTGTCAGCGAGGACTGGTTGTCCTGGAGAGTGTTGAAAGAGACCCAGGGCACAGGCCACATCCACACTCCCTTCCTAGATTAGTAATTTGGGAGGAGAGGAGAGGCAGGATGTGGCTCCAGAGCACTTTCCAAACACAGCTTCTCTTGGGGAAATAAATCACTCAGTAAAACATTGACCTTGGAAGTGCAATTTTCAGTACCTGTCTGTATGAAGACAAGTTAGCCTACAATATCTTTGATAAATTCCTGGGGAGCAGAAACACGGCAGATTAAGCACCTCTCCCAGGGCTTTCTCAGAGGGCTGGAGAACCTCTGCTGTGAAGACAGGCTGAGAGAGTTGGGGCTGTTCAGCTGGACAGAGAGAAGGGTCCAGGGAGACCTTAGAGCCCCTTCCACTACTTAAAAGAACTTCCATAGAACTGGAGAGGGACTACAAGGTGATGTGGTGATAGGACAAGGGGGAAGGGCTTTAAACTGACAGAGGACAGGTTTAGGTTAGGTATTAGAAATAAATTCGTTACTCAGGGGCAGTGAGGCACTGGAACAGATTGCCCAGCCATGGATGCCCATCGCTGAGAGTAGTTCAAGTCCAGGTTGAATGAGGCTTTGAGCAACCTGGTCTAGTGGAAGGTGTGTCTGCCCACAGCAGGGGGTTACAAACAAGGTGACTTTAAGGTCCTTTCCAACCAAAACAATTCTATGGTTCTGTGATGATTCTGTGAATGTCCAAATTCTTTGTGCATTTGGAAATCTCCCACTGACTCTGACATTATGATGTTAGAGTAAGAGAAATGTGTAGTTTGGGGTCACTGCCTTAATGTCTTGGACACGCTCTCCCAGGTGGTCTGTATTTCATTTCAAACAAAAACAAGTGACTGAATTAAGGAATCCTGGCAGCCAACCACATAAAACTGGATTAGTAGTGGTTGTCTCAGAGTAATCAACTCTTTCTTTTTCCTTTTTAACATAGAAACAATATCTGAACTGGACATTTACAGTTGAAAGAGCTTCTAAATGAGAATTTACTGTTACTCACAGCTAGTGTTTGCAGGGAACAGCATAAATAAATGCCCCTTACACTCCCTCCAGGTCACTCCCCAGAGAAGCAGCAAATTTATACTGTCATGGGTTTGATTAGACACAGTGTTTTTATATACTTAGTTTTGAAAGGTTTGGTTTGGCTGCCTTTTTCAATTACTGACTAACAGAATACACACACAATTGATCCTGCCTATAGCAGCCATATATCTGAGTTGCAAAACCACAAAAATACACACAATTTCCTTGTCTACAGCTTTCCAATTTTCCTACACACATGCATTTCCTACCAGCAAGCTGCAGGCAGTTTGCCATTCAGCTTGTGGAGTTCCTGGCTTACCCTTCAGCGAGGCCTCAACCCACTCCCCTCAGGACTGAGAAAGAAGATGAGATTTGTCTCTGGCATTTGAAATCACCCTACTCTGTGCAAGCACAGCACGTTGAGGTATCAAAGCCACAGCTGAGGCCACTCTAAAGAGATTCAGGAACTCATCCGAGGTCCCCCAAGAAATCTGTGAGAGAACAGAGAATTTTAGCTACTTTTTTAGCACAACTTCGTCACCAAAAATAAGTTAATAACACTGTTTGGTCTCAGTCATGTAACAATCGCACTGTACAAGGGACCTGCTGCAAGGCTACCTACAGGGAACACAATTCTTGCTCAGATAAATAGGGAACAGGAACTGCAAGCAGCATAAGTTCTGGAAGTAAAGCTAATGGGTAACAGCTCTAAGGACATAAAGAGCCAAGCCAGGCAGGTAAGGATTTCTTTTAAATCCCTCCTACTCATAAAATCATGGCATGGATAGCCTAGGGAAATATCTTCCCTATTCTCAAGTTCTTCCAGATGCCTTAAGTGGGCCACTCTCCCACAAGGGTTGAGGCGATGCTCAAAGCCATCAATCACCCTGGTAAATGAAACGTTGCAAGTAAATTTTTCAGTAAATCAATAAAAGAAAGAAGGGAAGGCTAGCCTCTGCCAAAGTTTTCAGTCCATTTTCTCCCATCCCAAACAACACAACTGCCTTGTGTCTGTTGTATAATGGACTTTCGATACAGTATCTGGGAAATCTGATAAAGCAGCATGTTCTCCCACACTACAGCTCAGTCATTTTCTGTGCAGTGCAAGTGACAGGAAGGTAACTACAAATCTGTCACCTTAAGGGTTACACCACAGCCAACCTTGTACAAATTCTTGAGAACTTACCAGGGATGTTTGGAAACCAAAGCACTCACATCAGCGTTTAAAAAAATGCTGTAAATGTCTCTTCGAAACCCTGGATGCAGGAGTGAGAAGTGATGTGGGAAAGTCTGGCCTTTAGCCAGATTATAAAAGAAATTATTCACTAGCCCTGTAGGTTCCTTAATCTAGTCTACCATAAATTTTTATTATGAGTTACTATTGATTCATAGCCATAAACACAATGGATGCTTGAGATCTTTGCCCAAAAATTTTCACAGTCCCAAATCCCGCACTTGGAAAGACTTGTGCTTACTTCAACACCCATGAGCAGACCCCACTCATCTCAACAACATCAGCCAACTCATGTTTCTAATTTTAGTTGTTCCTACTGACAGTTGAGTAACATTGGCACCTTCCAAATAATCCTTTGATTTCCTGACGTCACATGTGCTCTTGGGAGGATACATGGAGACAACATTCCCTACACAAATGGTCAGAGCTGATTAACTACGAGGGGATGTTACAAGCTTAAGTGATGTATGATCACTTACAGTGGCCTAAGAGCCAGATGAGTCATATGAAGTAAAGCCAAGGATTCTCTCTGGGTTTCAAGTTACCAAAGCAAAAGCCTCTTGAAATAGGATCTGAAGCAAAAAGAGTGCCACAGCAATTTCTGAATGTGTTGAAAAAGCTAATCATTGGGAAGGAAACCTATAAAAATAATAATCTTTAAACTCAGTAAAACATGATGTAGTCTTGCAGTGTAATGCTTTTTCAGCCACATTCCTGAACTGTTACTGAGTAGATATGCAGGAAAACTAAGAAATTCATCAGCAAAATCTAATTCAGTCCTGTCTAAACTACAAAGATGAATTATCCACTAAGCAGTGTGAGATGTCAGAGCTCCTGTGCTGGGCAGCCCTGCTTAACACAGGGCAGTGTAACACCAGCACAGAGAGCTGCTGCTTGGCCAAGGAAAGAAGAAATCCTAAATGAACAGATGCATCTTAACATGCAGTACCTGAAGGGAAGTGCCAACTGAACAGGCAACATCTTCTTTAATTAAAGTTGCATAGGAGTGGGGATAGCGAGAAGGACACATCTGATGGCTTGGGACAATTCGACCATAAAAAGAGGACTGGATGCTGATGGTGGTTCTGTGAGGACACCTCAGGGAGATGTATTCTCCATCGCAGGCATGGTCAGTGTAGTTCCTTAGTACCTGTGATATGTAACCTGCAAAAACCATGACAAAAAAACATCATTAATGAAAGGTAGTTAATACTGAGGTGATTTACAGCAATGTAGTCTAACAAAGACAAAACTACCAGGCAGTGAGGGACACAGATTTTATTACTCACCTTACATACATGCAAAGACACAGTGACAGGGAGATTAGGGAGGCTTGATGATTTGACCTTCAACCATGATACAGTTCCTTACTGGAAGCAATGTTTGGGTACTCCAAACTCTTAGTCCCATCATACAACTTATTTACAATGGCACAATACAAGAAGACAGTTTCAGAGTACATATATGGAGCAGCATCTTCACTGTGAGGGCAGTCAAGCAGTGGAGCAGGTTGTCCAGAGAAGCTGTGCAATCTACACTCTTGGGGGTTTTCAGGATCTTACTGGACAAAGCCCTGAGTAACCTGGTTTGACATTCTAGAGCCAGAGATTAAACTAGAGAACTGAAATCCCTTCCAACCTCACTTTTCCCATAAAATTAAGATCATGGGCAAGAAAGGCCCAGATCCAGAGCCACATTCCATCCTGGCACACCAGTCACATCTTTGATCTCCTTTCACAATATACCATTTAAATTCTTCTGGCTGCACCTTCTGTTCTAGGCCTTTGACACTGAAGCTTTGCTTTCTCTTCAGTTTTGCAAAGTTTCAATCTTTTTAGAAGGAACACAGTATGCGGAACTAAATCTCTCCTTGTTTCTTAGAGGATTATGTTATCCACAGTAATAAAGCTGTTGACAAGAATAAAGCAGGGGGGACAAAGTCTCGTTAAAATTACACTTGAGTCAGAAGGGCTGATTGCTGTCAGGTTGCCATGGAAACTCCCAAACAAGTCTGACTTTGCCACACTCAGGCATGAGGGGAAAGCACTGTGTTGCTGATCTGGAGATATCTGTGGAGGGCACACTACAGTGTGTCCAATGTCACTGTCAGCCACAGTCCCATTCAACCCTGCAGTTCTCTCTGCAATTGGTTTGAAAGTCCCCTTCCCACCACTGGCCACCAACACAAGCCTATCAGCAGCCACTCCACAATACCCTGTCCCTATCTTGCTCTTCCTCTGTAGAGGATATGACAAATAATGAGAAACTAAGGGTTAGTCTGTTCGTCTAAAAGAAACAAGGAATAAGAAGAGTGGGATTAATTACTGTTTTACATTAAGTAAAGATCTAGAGGAAATGGAACCTGTAGAGGAAGACAAAGACATGGCATTGTGGGATGGTTGCTGGTAAACTCTTATCCTAAGAGGCAGAGTACAGAGAAAAAGCAAAACCATTAAGAGGAAGCAAGTAATCCCTGGATGAATTTCTAAAAAAGAACCTGAGACTTTTTTTTTTTTTTTAAATTATGACGATTCTCTTGATGGCCCATAATCACAGAATAACTCAGGTTGGTACCTCTGCAAAGTCATGTAGTCCAGCCTTCTGTTCAAAGCAGGACCAGCTTAGTCTAGGTTTCCCAAGGCCTTGTCCAGTTCTGAATATACCCAAGAGCGGGGCCTCTACAACCTCTCTGAGCAAACTGTGCCAATGCTTAACAACTTCCCCAGTGAAATTTTTTTTTCATTCCATGCAATTGGAATTTCCATGCTATGACTTTTTTTGTTGTTGTTCTCTCTGTTCTTTCACTGGTGCATTTTTGTACCCTTTGGTACCTTTCAGGGAGAAGACTGGTTCCATTTCATCTATACAACAGCAATTAGAACTCCCTCTCCTTATTCTTTACTTCTAGATGAACAGACCAGATCCCTCATTTTGTCATTGTTTATCACATGTTCCAGTGCCCTTGCCTTCCTGGCAGCCAAAGACACTCTCTCCAGACTCTCAACATCTTGGCTACACTGAGGACCCAGCGTGGTATGAGTTACTGTGCATTCCTACTTCCTCACACTCACCATCCTGCCTCCCAAGACATTTAAAAGATTCACGTGACCTGCTCAGAATCATTCCCACATCAGCTCTAGCTATCCTTGTAGACACACCTGTAGGGTATATTTTCCCCACTAAGTTAAACGCTCCTGGTGTTTCTTCTCTGTCTCTAAAGCCATATCCAGCAACTTCCTCTTACTCTTCAAAATAGTATGACCTATATCCAGAGTTTTTACTGGCAGTAGCTATACTTCCATACCAACACTGAAAGCTAGCTCAGGAGTTTTGTGAGACAACACTTGCCTTAGCAAATTTCAAGGTTTCTAAAACAAGTATAATCGCTGTTCTTAGAGATAGATAACCAACACACAGTAATTTAGCTTCAGCATCCAATCTGCCACTGTGAGGGCTGGGTTCTCTGATTTCTTTAAATTTTGGCCAGTAGTTCTTATTTAGCAGTTCTGTTGCTGCAGCACCTCGAGGTCTGTGCCAAATAAATATTTACTCAAATCAGCATATTAAATTCTAAGTCCTCAGGGCAGCATTTGCTCATAAGGAAAAGGCTGAGGCACAGCCCAGATAATTAGAGTAAGTGACAGGACTGCATCAGATCAGGAAAGAGCACTATTTAATTTAGTACCTTTATCTCACTTGTCCAAGGAAGCACTCTGGGATAAAATGAACTACTGGGGTGGATTTCCTTTCCCAGTCAGTAGAATACATGCTCTGTGGGATGCTGCACACCGAGTCCTGAACTTAGATCAGCTCTTCTCCCTCAAAAGTAAGGCAACTATACAAGATGGGCATCAGGAAAAGCAAACTACAGATTCAGAATATAACACAAAACATTAAAACCCACTTTCCACGCTGTTACTCCAGCGCATTAGGACTTTTCCCTGAGGCTGACCTATTAGGGAGCCAAAGAAATACAAACAAAGTACAGTCAAGACTCTACTGGTTCCTTTGAATATTCAATTACTCTGTCAGAACAACCATCCTAGGGCATGCCTTTCATATTGCCAAGTCAGAATCAGAGAAGGTTCCAACCCCTGCAATTAATGTACATCACTTGCTGAAACAGCTCCTTCCTTTCGTCTTCCATCAGCAATCTCAAAACAACTTGAGTTCATTCAAGCTCAAGATATTGAAGGGATTGAATGCTTTGATGGTGACTGACTAATAATAAACAAAGCACAATGTCGGAAACATCTGGCACTGACCACTGTCAGAGAGAAGATACTGGATTAGACATGGGCATGGTCAGAGAGGAGATGATGTTCTTCAAAGAGCAGAAGGAAGTGGCTGTAGAGAATTAATCCTTTTTTTGTTTCCCTTTCTGTGTCAGATTTGTACTATATCATTGGTAGTTCTTTTGAATGCCTTGGCATTTCATTACCCCCTGATTCACAGTTCAGTAACCCAAAATCCAAATTATTTTCAGGACCCTTGTTGAATTTTCGGTAACAAGTCTCCAAGTGACCTTTTGTACCATTACATGCAGTACCAGGGGAGGAATTACTGGGATGCTCTTTGGTGAATGAAATGCATAAGCATGTAGCCATGGCAGGTGCTTGAGGACTTTATTGGCACTTGTACACCAGGGTAAGAAGCACTCCCTAAGTACACAAGGAAGAGCTTACAAAGCTCTTTGACTCTTTCCTGGCAAGCATGAAAAAGTCTCTTGGATGGCTGCAAGAACTTATTTTAGTTTAGTTAAATGATACAGCAGATCACCAGTAGCTACTTATAGGCCACAGAATACGTCAGTCAAGAAACTGAGATGATAAAGGTTTTATCAAATGACGTCATCATTCCCACTCAAGTTTATGTCTCTGCATCATTGTCTGGGATATAAGCTGCAGTCTTACAAGTGTCTGCTCCAAACAAAGATAAGACAGGCTGGGTTTAAAGATTCCTTTCTTCATCCATAAATTCTGGAATGTGAAATCACCATTGTCAGGTCTATGGCCTGAAGGCAAGGGATTATTTGAGAAAAATATTCTATGATTCTAAGATCCCATCTGTACTTCTACAGACAAATGCACCCTTTATTGTCATGGTTCATCGTGGAATGGAAGTGGCACAAATTCTCATTATTTTATTAGAAATTTTTTTGTTTGTTCACTAATCTGCCAGTCTAGGGAAGGCAATCTTATTAAAGCAAGTAGTAATTTGAGCTTTTCTTTAAAAACATGTATTTCATTTTAAAATATGGTAAAAGCATAAAACAAATCTAATACATTAAGCTCACCAAAACTTTGCCAAATGCTACACATTTTGAAAACCTGGGATAACAAAAGCAATTACAAAATGTTTTGGGTTTAGCACTTCTCTTTTTTTTAAGGATTGTGTCAAGAAAGTGGAATCTTTGTTGGTAGACTTTCTTACTCCCAAATTAAATCAATGTATAGGACTCAAGAGCTAAACATCTACTTGATTCAGAAGACCAGTATCACTACCAAAGCAGGGATTTGCACTCTGAGGACAGAATAAACAGCCAAAAGAAACACATCACAAAAATGATAGATCATTTTTCCCTCTAACAAGAAGGAAATGTTCCTTTCAAACACCACTTGCAATTTATTTTTCCAAAGTGCAGAGTTTGCCTCCTATCAGTCATCAGCAATTATTCTTCACTAGTCACCAAACACAATGCTTAATGCTGACTGTAACTTTATCCCTCCTGGCAATGTCGGCTCCCAAGAATGATTTGAACCATTGCCTCTACAGGAAACTGTTGCTCAGTTCTCATCCAACAGTCAGTTCTAAACTTTAACACATAGGCAAGGCAGAGGAACATAGCAGCTTCATACAGAATGCCATCATTTTACAGGAACTGTAAATATAAACACCATCCTTTATTTACTTCCATGGAGCTACAGCCCTACCTTTTTGAAACCAAAGCAGCAGACGGAGTGGTTCACAAACGCACAGATGGTATAAGACAGTCCACCCCATTCAGAAGTAGGATAATACACCTTCCAGTATGTAAAGGGGGCTTACAAGGAGGCTGGAGAGTGGCATTTCACAAGGGCATGTAGTGATGGGACAAGGGAGAATGGCTTTAAACTAAAAGAGTCCCCTCTTAGAAGAAATTCTTTACTGTGAGGGTGGTGAGG